CAGTGGTGTGTGGGGTGGAGGGAGGAAAAGACGAAATTAGATAAATATATAGATATTTTACCAGCTAATTTGAAGACTTCCGACCATTATTCTAACACTAGGTGCCTCTTACGAAGCTGTAAGATTGTTGAAGAGACAAGATTTCCCAATTGAATTTCCATCTCCGATAGGTCTAAGTGAGCAGATTGCCAGGAAAACATCTCAAATGAGAAGCCCGCGTTGGATATTCTTAGTATGGTTCTCCGCGCCTTAGTCAAGTATGGTACCAACTAAGCTAACAAAATGTCTGTGTTGTGTCTGTTGTCTATTCTCACATGTCGTCTCGCCACAAGATCCTTTCGGAGAAGTTTGGTTTCATCGGTGTGTATATTTGTTTGGTTATAGAGAAAACTCTCCTTGTCCTTTTAAAGAAACTGAAAGGGGGGCAAAAACTTAACCTTCGATTTTCCCAAAACATCATTTTTCGGGATAGCCCCCTTGTGCTTAAGAGCGACCAAATGTCTTTGTGGCGTCAGTAGTCTAGTCTCACATGTCGTCTCGCCACACGATCATGAAAAGTGGCGTCTGTAATCGCTACCTCAGAATTACAAGTTCTATATTATGACATTTTTGGCTGTTTTCAGCCACTAAGACCATGCGATCAGAATTAATGTTCCCTCTGATCCATCAAAATTGAAAGATTATTTCGAGTCATTATCAAGATATTCAAAGAATTTGCTTTCGAAAAAGCTTAACCATGTTGTGGAACTCTAAATTTGTTTGTCAATTTTCTCAAAACTAGGTAGCCAACTGAGCAGACAGATCGTTGCTATTCTAGGGTTAGAGAGTAGTCTTGTGCTCAGGCTACCGGACTCGAAATCGTGAGATTGTGGGGGCGGGGTTCGAATCTGAGCTCGGTCCGACGTTGTGTCCTTGGGAAAGGTACAAATGATTTACACGAACTTCCCACTTGGCTCGGTCCTTTCGGAAATAGACGTTAAACTCGGAGGTCCGGCCCTGCCTCTTAAATCACCTAATCGTGTTGATAGGGGCGTTAAACGTGTAAACATTGCCATACCATTTCACGTCTCTTCCTGAACTCGAAATGCTGCCACAAACTGCAGCTCACAGCAACAGTCTCTTATACACATTACAATTTTTAAACAATGAGTTTCCTCTGATTCTTTCTCTCGAATTTTACCGGCATCTGAGGTGTGGTGTAGCGGTGAGGCACTTTGCTGTCGCTAGCAGGAGACCCGCGGTCCATTCACGAGTGGGAAAAACATTAATTTCTTATCGAGTTTCTCAGTCTTTCTGCGGGGACGATAGTCCTTTCAGCCCGGGTTGGCCCAGACAGTCAAAGTCGAAAGCCCGGCTCCTAAATTATCTAAATTGTGTCGATGGTGACATTAGAAACCCCTAAGTTAAAACAGTAAAACGTCGTTAAGCTTAGAAAAAGAACAGACTACATTAAACAACATTAAACATCCTGGAAATCTGACCAAATTTTAGTTTTTCTAACCCCCCCCCCTCCTCCCCCCTCCCCTCTCTGACCTGTGCCTCTCACCTGCTCAGTCAAGTCCTTGGCCAGCTGACCAACCTCTGGTCCGTAATCTCTCCCTGTCAGAGCCTCGGCCATAGTTTCTCGAAGGATCTGGCAGAAAGCATCATTTTGGAATATTATTCCTTGCGTTGATCGGGATGCAAAAAACACCTACATTAATTTTTTTTTTAAAGTCAGATTTATATTCGCATGCTCACTTTTTCAATGTTATCTTTTCTTTTAAATCTCATTCATTAACCAGTTTATTCAAAATGTTCTTTGGCTACCGTAGTCTTTTTGGGGCGCTTTTTGTTAGCATTTGATACTTTTTTATGATAGGAGTATGTTGAAGTGTATCTACAATGTCTGTATCAATCACTTTGCGTTATCTAGTACATTTCAAAGGCACCTCATTATCATCATTATATTAATATATGAAAATAATAGTAGTAGTAATAATAATGATA